CCCCCCCCCCCCCCCGATCTCTCCTATGAAATGAGGCAGGTCCACAGTACGCCTCATCAATACAGCAGCCGCGTCTCAATGCGTTCTGCGGGTCACTTCTTCAGGTTTGCACAGTCGGGTTTTTTGAAAAATGAAATTAATCTATTTTCCAGCACACTCCTCTAACCTTCACGGATCCCAAAGGATAACCTGGGAGTACGCGGCAGGCAACAAAAGGATGCTTTCCCACAACTGCCCTCCAATGTCAGCGCAGGCGGAATGAATGAAGACGAGGAGGAAGTTTTCATTTTTGATAAAGACACAGCCACCGTTTTTCAAATATTTTTTCGTAACACAATTAAACAAAAATAACTAAAACGTAATTAGTTTTTATCATGAAACAGTTCTCAAGACTTCATTTTAGGGATCTGGAAATTGGGCTGCGACTACCAATTATTTTCATTGACGTTGATAATAAATTGTCTGAGAATGCCCTGTAACTTACTGACTTATTTCCCAGAGCCCGTGGTGACGTCCTCAAATTGCAACAAATAGTTTAAAACCCAGAGATAGTTATTTTACAATAATACAAGAAAGAAAAAGCAGACAAATCCTCACTTTCACAAAGCTGGAACCAGAGAAGGTTTGGCATTTTTATTGTTATCCCAAGGCTTCAATTAACATTTGAGAAGTTTGGATTCTTTTGTCAAATGAAGAAAAGGGTTTTTAAGAAAGATTGTCCTGCATCCAAGGATTACATGTTTAGTTTCCTCGAAGGTCAAGGCAACATCTACAAATGTCTCGGATTGTGTGACCAACAGTCTAAAACACTCCAACATTCAGTTCACGACGTGAAAAGCAACACATCCTCACATTAGAGAAGCTAAACTAGCGAATGGATTTGGAGTTCTTTCCTGTAAAAATGACTCATTAAGGAACTAATCTTTTCTGCTTCATGGACAAAACAACAGCACTGAAAACAACTTCAACAATTCCAAGCCCCACTGTTTTAGTCAGGGATTAAGGAAATATTCATTCAAATAAGTAAAACATTTCTTCACCTCAGGGGCCGAAAACAGTCAGGTCTAATTTCATTACATCTCCCTAGGTGAAAACAAAGTAATTATATTCAAGCCAAGTATCCCATTCACATCGCAATGTGACTTTAATCTCCTCCACATGAAAGTAACCCTAAAGCTCAACGGAGATCCCGCATCATTGGCCATTCGCCTTTCCACGTGCTGGAGAATAATAAAAATCCATTAGTGCAGCAGACAAAATGAATGGTGACACATCCCTGCTGGGTGACTTGTGATTTTTACAGTTGGTACTAGAAGGCAGTGCGTCTGCTGCTACAGTGTGTGACTTTCATTCTCTCCCTCTCTCTGCAATGCCTCTCCAAGAATATCAATAAGACTCCTTGGAGAGAGTGTCAGCAGGATGCTCTATCTATCTATCTATCTATCTATATCTATATATATATATATATATGATCCTGAACCATCGGGGGAAATGTATATACTGTCTCATGCTGAATTTAGTTTTACTCCGTCCCTCTTTGCAGGAGCTGGACATTTAATCGGGCCTCTGGCTGTGCCGATCAAGGATCATTGACAGATCCCCATCGACCGTTTGTAACTCTAAACTTGCCCGGCTGCACTTGTTACAGAAAATCCTGCTCTGATGCAATGTGTGTGAAACAGATAACAAGAGGAGAAAAGACACTAATGATCCGACTGAAAACCGTAAAAGAAATAATAAAAGAACTGGAGAGCCTTATTTATATCTATGAGAGCAGTGAAACAATCACTTAGTCCTGCTGTCACCCTCCTTCACAGCGGTGAGCCTCGAGAGGACGATCGCTTATCATTTGCAACACTTTAGAGCGAGTCTGCATTCACCTCCCTCTCTTCCTCTCGGCGCCCTTGCTGACGGACATTATAGAGTTTAGAAAAGTGCGACTGGATAATGGGCACATTAAGCAAAAGCATCCTCTTTGTCAGATTGGAGGGTGGTTTCATATCGCTCATTAAATTCCACTCTCGCCGGGGACCGGTGCCAATCACAACTCGGTGTAGCCTGCCGACGAACAAGAGACGAAAGGACGGAGAAAAGGAGGAGTGTTTGTCTTTAATACCCATGAACACAAACACTTTAAAAGTGGTGCCACTTGGGATTGTCCTTCTGGAGGGTTTCACTCAAAGATGAAGAGTGACATAACAGACCCCTGGCACTCTTATCTTAAGGATGGAGGGAGACGCTCCCTGCTCTCTCTTTCCCCCTCCATTTCCCCAAATCGAGAAAAAAAAGTCTCGGAGTGATGAAAGGTTTTCGATCAAGGAATCCCTGTTTTTGGCGACTTTGCTGCATGAGAGCGGTTAGTGACAGATCTAAATGGCCTGTGATGTCCGGTGCTCAGGGACAGCCTGGCCAACACCGACACAGCATCTTCATAGTTAGTATTTATAGAGGCAGATATCTTAACGGATTTAAGGCTGAACAAGACATGGCAGCGGCAAAAACTGCTGAGTGCTGTTGGAAAAAAAAAAAAATGCACAAGCCGCAGTCATCGCTGCAGGCAGAAATCAGACAAACAAAAAACATCTGCACACATCTGTACACATCTGTACGCATCCACATACTGATGGGGCTGGTTTGAGCAGCTGAAAATGAAATAAACAAAAAACAAAGACAGATTGCAGCTCTCCGGCATAATTACAGCAGTTAAACAAAGCTACGAAATCATCAACTTGCTTAGACCAAGCCAGCATACATTCACTCACTAAGACACGCAGGCCAAAAGCTCAGCAAACCATGACTCATGGAAATGAAACCGGACCCTACATAGTGTTGGATGTCTCGTGAGAGTGAGGGAGTCTGGGTAATGTACCCACTCCAGGGAAGCTCACACTCTCCAGTAGGTGCAGACAGCCTTGTCAGCCTGGTATGACGGTCTGACTGAAGGCTGTGATAACGAAGAAATAACCCGACTGTCCTCTCTCTGTCTCTCTTTCGTCCTTGGAGGATTTTTGAAGCTGGGTCTGGTGAAACTGCACAGGTCCTTTTATTATCTGGCTTTAATTTGCATTGCCTCTTTGAGTTTTAGGGCAGGTCAAGCTGATGTCTGCATTGGGGGACACTACAGCAAACAGCTTCTCCCAATTGATTTGGGGGAAGGGGAATAAACGGGTCGTTTTAACAGTTAGTCTGTTGGCTAGGCTTTAGGGACGGCAATGTCTGTCCATCACTTGGGTCCAGACTGAAATGTCTCAGCACATATTGGATGGATGGCCATGTATGGACATTCATGTTCCCTTCAGGATGAATTATAATCACTTTAGTGATCCTCTGACTCTTCATCTAGCGCCACCCACAGGTAAAAAATTAGACCATCTTTGGTTTATACCTGCAAAACTAATGACATTCCCATCATCCTCAGCTTTGTGCCAATTAGCAAATGTTAACATGCTAAGACGGGGAGCATTGTAAACATTATACCTGCTAAACATCAGCACGTTGGCGTCGTCACTGTGAGCGGTTTATCCTTTAGCTCAAAGCCCCGCTTGTGCCCAAGAACAGCATCAGCGAGCAGCATGGCTGTACACTCATGTTTCCTGTTTAATCCTGAATACTTTCAATGAAACAACTCAAGAAAGAAAAAAGACTCTGGTCACAACTCAAAGCCTTTAACCTTCAAATAATTGAAAAAAGAAAGATATCACAACAGTTTAAGAAAATGTCCCTAACAATTACAAAAAAAAAAGCTGAAAATCATCATATTTGAGAAGTTGTAAAGTGAATGTTTGAGTGAACTAGCTGCAGTATTCGTCGCCTGTGTTGACTCACTTACCAATTAATAAAACCAAACAGGAAACAGCAACTAAATAGTCCACGCATTCTACTTGACATGAACATTTTGTTGCCTCTTGGCTGATCCTATTTCAAGTAAAACCAACATGACGCGTCTGGGGCATTGAGCAGGATCCAGGATGCAGCCTCTGCATCACCCGCATGTCACCTGTCAGTCAAACTAATGCTGAGGTGTGACAAGTGAGAAAGAGCCGGGAATTGGATACACCTGTAGCTCCCGCCCACTCCAACGCATGCCACCGTGCCGCATGAGGAAGAAGAGGCCGCAGCACCTAAAATATCACCGCTCTCAATACCCGCTGCCAATCTAGACAGCTTGGTGAGTGCTGATAACAGCACAAAGAGAAATCCAATAAAGAATGTGTTTCTGCCCTGTTTGGCCACCACAAGTTGCTAAAAAAAAAAAAGAAGAAGCTTTTGGCAGAGATTGTAGAACTTTCCATGACACTTCATCTCACAAGTGATTGGTTGGTGGCAGCAGAAAATGTCACGACTTTCCTATTCTTCAGGGATGGGTAGTCACATGGATCGCTGTGACCCTGACAGATACGACTCCATCAGCAGAGAAAATCTTCTCTGCCGTAGGACGGAAGTGGAACCGATTACAGAGAATATTTCTGTATTTGGAGGGATTAACTGCTCTCTAAACTTTCTGTACGGACATAAATCATACCACAATCATGCACCACACAACACAGACAACCCTATAATCTGCCCTAACGTAATGTGTGTGCATGATTTCCTCTGACACCAACCTCTTTTCCCCCCCACATGTAATGTCCGAATTCAGAGGCTCAAAAGAATAAATCTTGGTGACACAGAGGTTCAAGACACATACGACGTAACGGAGACCTCCCAGTTTGAGTCCGGCCGATGACTTTTACCACATGTCCTTCTCCCTCTCTCCTCAACTCCTCTGTCCTGCTATTTCCTGCTGCTGTCCACTGTTCAACAAATGCAAAAATAGAATATTTTCAATGCTTAAAACAAATACTACTATGAGTGGTGTGAACACAATGACTTTCCCGGAGCCTAGGGTGATGTCGTAAAATTGGTTGTTTAATTGGAGCAACCGTGCAAAACCAACATTTTCAGACAAAAGAAATCCTGACATCTGAGAAGCGGGAACTAGTTATTGTTTGGGATGTTTGACTGAAACGATTAGATAACACATTATCAAAAGAGGCACTGCTCAATTTTTCCAATATAAAGACACAATACAAGGGAGCATTCAACCAACAGCTCTCTGAAACGGAAGCAACAATCTAATCACGATGAAGGCAGTATATTTTGCGGGGCTGTTGAGCTGGCGTGGAGGATGTTGTACTGTGTGTACACACTCTCTGAGCATATTGCATTTGCTTTGCTGCCTTTTGGTAGAACTCCCACGAGCTAAGGCGAATAAAGAAAAACAAGAAACGTGTGAGGTTGACAACCATTACTCCATCTTTTCCTACGCCAGTTATAATAACAGCTGCTCAAAATAACAAGACAACTGTGGACCCCTGAGAGGAAGTTTGAAAAAAAAAAAAAGTTTCTTCATCATGACCAAAAGCATTTCGGATGTCATTAAAATAAGTTCTTATCTGGAAATCTTGAATCGTGTTTTGACTGTTTTCTCCCCCAGCTGTGTGAAATAATCCGTCTCCACTTTGAGAAACAATAGACAATCCTGGTAGTTATATAAGGTACATCCGTGCTTTGTGCTCAGAGAGAACAAGTAACCACCACTCAAACGAGCCGCGCTGCTGGAACCACTCCACTGTTTCGGGAATCAACAGCCGGATTTCAGGACAAGTGAACGCTGCAATTTCATCTTTCACCAACTTCTGTAGTGTTTTGTCTTCGCTCTTATGTTACATAACACAACCGGTGCAGCGTGTTAACAATCGGTTATGTCAGACACGCGCGTGTCTGCGTAATGGTCTCTCACACACACTGCCTCTCATCTCGTTCAGCGTCTCTGGCACGAGAGCCACAATTACATCCAAACAGATGCACATGTGCGAGCAGACCACATTCATGCTTTTTTGGCTTGAAGGAGTTCTTTGTGCGGTGGTTGTGTGCTGTCACTTTCTCATCCTCCCACGCAGTCATTGTCTGTGCAGATCTGCTGAGAAAGGAGGCAATCAGTGCCTTTCAGACACTCTGCCCCGTCCTACTCCTTTCTTTTTTAACCGTTCTCTCAGATCTGCCAGAGAGCCCTCTGAAACAATTAATAATTAACACATCGGCATATAATGGATCGGGGATTAATAATTCAGCCTGCCGATTTGGACTAAAATAGACCAGAGGCTAAGAGGAGACTGCAGCGGTGCAACAGGTTGGGGCAGAGATGGGATGGGGGGGGGGTGACTGCGAGCCAATGGTGTTAATTTAGGAACATCAGTCAGCGTTACGCATGTATAATAAGGCTGGGAATACAGTTGCTGCTGCGGTGCCTGAGGGCCAACGCAACACTCAGACAACATTTGTTCTAGCATTAAATTCAGAAGCGGGTCGTTGTTTTATGGTTACAACTGAGCTGATTTGTGATAACATAAATTACAAAAAAGAGCAGTCCACTGTGACTTCACTTAGACTGCCATGTCCAAGTTTTAATTACATATTAGTTGCAATATAATTAGCATCTTAACAGTGTTGCACATAATGCAAGACATAATCAACGGGCTAAACTGGTGCTCCAGTTATGACTAATGTCTGGGCCTATGACATTTTAATTAAGGCCACCATAAGAGCAGGTGACATTATGAGTGATTTTCTTCACCTCAAGCCTCGAGAGCATCATTTGTTAACTTGGTACGTCAATGGAGTGGCAAACAGCGGAGCGCTCGGCTGTAAGAACAGCAGGAATGAAGATCAGTGGAAACAGCGGGCGACCATTATGAGCGGACTAAAAGACTGACTTTTAGACGGCTCGAGTGGGCTCTCAAATGACTCCAGTCTATTGGCAAACACCGCCTTCCCTCGCTCACTCCCATTTCAAACAACGCCATGATATATTGCAGGTCAAGCGGCTCTGCTCTTTCCCGGCAAGGCCACATGCTCCGAGTGTTTCGGGTTTCCAGGGAAACTGGAGGAGGCCACCCGCGTGCTCGGCTGAACTTTGCAGCCTAGTAAAAGCAGGTCAAACACCGCTCTTGTCGTGTCAGTAAATTGCCGTGCACTCCCCCCAGAAGACACACAACAGTGTCTCTACAAGCGTTACTTCTGCAATTTCAAGCTCTGCCTTTAATAACTCTGCATGGGGAATGCGTGGCAACGTGACTGTATTGTCCTGCTCTGAAAGACACTCGGAGGAGGGGATCGGCACAGATACAGTTACACTGAAATATACATAGGCGAGGCTTTGCTTAATCCTGCTATTGACTGGCAATTATCGTCCATCATTATCGTTTCTTGTCTTTCAGAATCACATTGTGCTGAAACAATAGTAAAGCTGTTGTGAAGCACAAAGCTATGATCAATGATGAAAAGCAAATACTCATTAAAACCAGTCGTGGATGAAAAGGACTTTCATTGTACTTCTATTCTACTGTATTTCACTTTCACTCTATTTTCATCAATGTGATTATTCTAGAGCTGTAACTGTAGGATTATTTTCATTATTAATTGTCATATGAATTAACCGATTAATCTATTATTAAAGAAAATGTCAGAACATAGTTTAAAAAAAAGCTGACCGGCAGTCCAAAACTAACAGATATAACTGATTTAGCCTTTAAGATGTCAGAAAATATTGCAAAAAATGTGTTTTCTAAGAGCCCAAGGAGACAACTTTACATGTCATTAATCTAATAAGCAGTCCAAAACCCAAAAATATGAAAAGTACAATGATATGAAACAGAGAAACAGCAGCAAATTCTTACACCCAAGAAGCTGAAACAATGAACTGGTGAGCCTCTTTGCTTGACATTAATTAATTGATAATCTAAATATTTGCGGGTTCATTTACTGTCAATTGACTAATTGATTGTTCAATTAATCATGACAGTTCCAGGTTATTCAGTCTGTACATTTACATGCATTGGCTGACATAATTATACAGAAGATGCAGAAATAAAGTGCTGCAGTTATTCTGTGAGAATGACTTTGGCCTTGCTTCAGCTCAATGGTTGTCAGTTATTGCTATACCAACAACTAAGACACAAAAGGACACGTCAGCAACTAAAAAAAAAAAAAGAGAGCAGGTTATTTCAGCACCGATACAGCTAATACAAGGAGAAAGGACACTCCAAGTCCTGATCCAAGCCCATAATTCATTTGACATGTCTGTTGAGGCTGTGCATGATAATGTGTCCCGTTACTTGCCAGAGCCCCGGCTGCACAGTGGAGCTATTCATCCACCCTCAGACCTTGTTCTGGAGCGAAGCTTTACAACGTAAACACAGCAATGTGTTACAAAACATATCAGTGTTTGCAAAACATACATCTCGGTCTGGATACGCAGTGGATTACACTGCAACTACAAGGAGGCTCATTAGGTCTTCACACCAGCAGGGATGAAAGCATTATCTGTATCTCTTCTTCTTATTGTTCCTCCACATAACTCAATTTATTGTGAGTTGGTAAGTTGTATACACTCACCCATAAATGTCACAAGATTCTTGTCAAAGTGTCTCAAGTGGCCACATTCTACACATATATGCAAACCAAAGCATGTTCAAATTTTAAAAAAAATGTACTTTCAGTAAACATGGTCCAAAGAAATTTGGATTTTATTGATGCAAGATATCCAATTTTCCAATTATTGGGTTCATGCGACACCAAATATGGTTAATAATTCAGCAGCTTTTCATTACCCATCAATAAAACTATTAGTAATCTTCATCGTCAGCCACATGATGGCCTAACACTCTAAAGGTCTTCTAATAATTTGCAGTTGCTAATAACTAGCATTGGGTTTCTATCTATTGGCTTACGAACAAAACTCTAAAACTACCAATGCCATCAATTAAGTCAGTCAATTTCATTACTAAAACAATCGCCATCCCATAATAGGTTGAAGCCGTTGTTGTTGTTGCTAGCTTAATAATCAGAATGCTATATTTATATCACGTCCTGACTGATAAGCTTGATCGTTACTTCCGCTAACTTCGTGGTGAAATTACAGCCTGTCAACGGAAGACAAGAGCTAGCAAACAAAACGGAGTCTCATTAACTGCACATTAGTCCGTTGACCGTGAAAAAGCTGCCTCTACGCCGACAACAGTAAACATTTTAACGGCCTAATAACTGACCGCAGGCCGCTGATGATAACAGGTTAACCGTTATTGTTTGTTCCCGAGACCTTCCATTAAAAAACGGCTCGACCGTTGAGACGCCAGCGACATGAACTCACCTCAGTGGGACACGGGAGTGGTCAGCCAACAATATGAGAAGTTAATTCTCAACTAAATCTCTCAAGTCTTCATCCTGGCAGCGCAGGGAAAAGTTGCTTCACAGCATGTTTTTTGTTTGTTTTTGTTTGTTTCAATAAAAACACACGTCCTTCCCCTCGCAGCTCCTAACCGTGTATCAGGCACAGATGTGTAAATTATTGAAAGAGCGTTTTCTTCTCTCGGCTGCTGTGAGATCGGTTACGAGAGTTAGTTGTAACCCGAGTCCTCCTCCTCGTAAAAAAAAAGAAAAAGTTTCAAACTTGAGGGGGATTTGGAAATCAACAGATTGATGTTGGCTTGGACCAATGAGAGGAGATCAAGGAGAGAGGACCAGCCCAATCAGGCCCGAAGAAAGGCCCATTTACAGCCAGCACATACCCATCCCCCAGTAGGGTTTCCAGTAATTACCCTGGTCCAGTCCGCACTACCAAGGCTGAACAGTTCCCAGAGGAAGTGGTGTTAATGGAACAATGAGCAGGAAATGTGGGGAGCAGTCTTTTCTGTCATGGACTACATGGTATACTGCCTTGTTAAGTTTTACACTAACGAGGTGAACTTTCTTTATTTAAATCACAATTTTCTTACAAAATTATACATTTTCAGAGTTTCAAAACATTTAATTAATAATGAGAACACACACCACAGAGATAGATTTTGTCAGCGGATGTTTTTAAGGATACGGTAAAGTTTGTCGTCTGTGTAATGAGGAAACAGGAATTCCCGAGGTCAAAATAGCCTTCTCGCATTGCTATATTAACGCTGAGGTAATCTTAAATAATGTATATCATACACTGTGAGTTTAAGGCCTGTATTGCCAGAAGCCTCGGGTCATACCTCTGTGTTATTAAAGCGTTATTTGTAAAACCCCATGAACAAAGCCTATCAATATTTATACCTTGTTCTGAAGGTTTAAGTATTATGTTGCTGCAAATCTCCGTCATAATAAAACACAAGACACCTGCAGTGGTGAAATTGATCTGATACGCCCTCTAGTGGTATAGTGTGATTAGTGGGGGAAGACTAACTATATGACATCTAACAATGTTTATTTTTATTATCATATTTACTATATAACATCACTAGTATGTCAAAATCAGTCTGCCTTTATGAAAAATATAAAAACAATACAGAAATTTCTGGTATTTTCGAATCCGTAAACAACGTGAAAAAATGTTTTTACACCATTACTATTTTCATAAGATTAGAATGAAAATCAGAAAATAAATGTCTGTCGAAATCTCAAAAATACCCATTTGATTTCATTATTATCCTACATAATGGGGAAAAACAGCTTTCTTTCCGGAAAAGAAAGCGTGATTAATCAATATCAAATATCTTTAAGTATCCATAAAGATATTGCTCTTTTTAGGGCAAACCAACATATAGATTATATTTTATCTACCTACCTATTATTCATTTACCCCATATGATATCTTACTGTATGTCGGTACCAGGTATCTGTACCATTCACCTGTGCTTTTGTTGAACTACACTACCCACAATTCTCAGTGAAAAGCAGGAAGGTGACGTATTTTCGCTACGTGTCAGGAAGTCCTGTAGTCAAACATGGCGGCGCAGCAGAGCGATGTTGATGAACTCTTCGATGTTAAAAATGCCTATTATATTGGCAGTTATCAACAATGTATCAACGAGGCCCAGAAGGTGAAGGTGAGTAGCTAACACCGCATCGGTTGAACGTTTTAAAGTAAACTATTTACTCTGTTATTTAACGTTGACGTTACATCTCTGCCTTACTGCGTTTTCTAGCATCAATGCTCAACATGTTGGCGAATATTTCTCTATAAAATAGTGAATATTCCTCTATAAAATGCTCCCTTTTGTTTTTTATTATTGTTATTTAAAGCCGTCAACACCAGAAAAGGAGACTGAAAGAGACATGTTCTTGTACAGAGCATACATTGCGCAGGTAAACCATTTTCTCAACAGTCACTTGTTCATGTAACGTTAGAAAAATCTCTTGTACTTAATATTCATACATGTCACTCACTGTTACATATTGATAAACGCTCACCCTGACCTGTTGTGTGCTGTTGCAGAGGAAGTATGCTGTTGTCCTGGATGATATCAAGGGAAACTCTCCAGCAGAGCTTCAGGCTGTCAAGATGCTGGCTGAGTATCTGTCCAGTGAAAGCAAAAGGTGAAAGCTTTGCATTTGACTCTTGGGTCAACGTGGAAGGGGCATGAATTATAGAATATATTATATCCCCAAAATACTCAGTATATCAGCCAGCCTTAGTCCTTACAAGTTTAAATCCAACTGTGTGTGGAGATTACACACCGTCTTCTACTTTATTGCCTGGTTGTGATTCAATGATTCTCTTTAATTTAAAGTCCTCATTGTCTAAAACAATTCTCCTGCTGCTCTTTTTTTTTTCTTCTCTTGCAGGGATGCTATTGTTGATGATCTAGACAAGAAGATGGCGAAGAGCATGGATGCTGCCAACACCACCTTCCTCCTCATGGCGGCATCCATCTACTACCACGAGCTGAACACGGATGCTGCTCTTAGGACTCTGCACCAAGGAGAAAGCCTCGAGTGGTGAGAAGTGATTGAGGTTTTACTTTTTCAAAGTCTCAAAGGAAAGAAAATCTTTTACCACTTCTATTGGAACTAAGATAAAGATGATCATCCTTTTATCTTTCTTTGACATGTCATCAATGTGAACACAAGTATAAGAATTACTAAAAGGATCAACTTCTACTGCTTCATACTCATAACGAGATAGTTCAGAAAAAACTTATTGTATGAAAGGTGTCTGTAGACACAACTTGGTTTTGGCTTCCACATCTGCTCCACGAGATTGTCCGATGGGTCACTGGGGTTATAATGTTACTTTAATATTAAAAACAAACAAACAAACTGACCAAACTGACCTGAACATCTGTCTTTTCTTCAGCATGGCCATGAACATTCAGGTGTTGCTGAGTCTGGATCGTGTTGACCTGGCAAGGTATGGCAAAACACGTATACAGTGGATGATTTTAATTCAATTATTACGTTAGATTTCTTATTTTAAAAACATCCAGGTGCTTTTTTTGAATATCTGTTCAGTAATGTCATTTGACAGTAAGTCTTGACTTAACTAACTTTGCATACACATAAGTATACTGTCTCTTGAAATGTGACTTATTCCTCTAATAACGACGTTAAATTCTTCTCATTGACAGGAAAGAGCTGAAGAAGATGCAGGAGCAGGATGAGGATGCTACTCTCACCCAGCTGGCCACAGCCTGGGTTAATATTGCTGTGGTGAGGAGACGGCACCAATTCACATATTTGCTTTATAAGTAAATGTTCTATCATGAATAATTTCAAAACCCCACATATATAATAGAGTGAGCGGCATGTGTCTGCATATATACTAAGTTAATTAAATTACTATTCATCCCATTATCTGCATCATAGTTGTATTGTTATTGACCGGAGCTGCAATCAGGTTTGAAATGATCACCAGGCAGAGTAGTTTTAGCAGTTCTCGGTGCAGTATAGATCTAAACTTAACAAACTATGGCAGGTCTAAGAAGGACTGCGTTCAATTTAATTTGTCCTTATTGCATATTATGTCTTCCAACTCTTCAGGAGTATTGAGTACCACAACTATCAGCAGGGAGTGTCCACTTATTATTGGCTTTTCAGCTGCTGAACATTTCTTCTTGCCTACATTTTATCACATTTTTTGTGCCGTTCTAGGGTGGAGAGAAGCTTCAGGATGCCTACTACATTTTCCAGGAGATGTCGGACAAGTACTCCTCTACACTGCTGCTCCTCAACGGACAGGCCGCCTGTTACATGGCTCAGAACAAGTGGGAGGAGGCTGAGGGAGTGCTGCAGGAAGCACTGGACAAGGTTAGTAGTTAGTTCTTTGTTTTTGTCCCTGTTGTTATGCCTCTTTATCACACATTATCTGACATACTAAACACACTTTGTTGTACATACATGCAGAGTTTGGCTGGTCTCTTAGGCTTGTATTAGATTCATAGCCTTCATAATTGAAACCTTATGGATGCCTGCTAAACGGGAGTTGTGCAGGAGGCACTTTGTAATATGCATAGAGGGTTAAACCTGTATGATTATTAGAGCTATTACAAGATGCATTCAAAAGCAATGAAACAACAAGGATGTCACGTCTTTACAAGATTTGTTTCTGAGTGACAAATGTTGATGATGTTTCTCACCGTTTCACCAAATGTTTACATGATGATGCAGCACAATCTGAACAAGCTAATCACAACTGTTGCAACTTGAAAATAACGATATTCAATATGAAACTTAACTTAAAAAATAATAATAATTTTGTGGGTGCTTCAGGTTTGCCATGCTAAATATAGTCTTTAGAAATGTTCGTCAAATGAGTCTTCAGGACCAACAGTGGTGTCATCCAGTCAGTGTAGTAGAGTTAATTTAATACGCTATTGTAAAGTTAATGTTCTTCAAAAAGCCTGATTCTTTCAAGACATTTTAGTGAAACCAAACAATGTGTTTTATACACACACAGCAGTGCACCAGTTTGTCACAAAACATGTTAAACTTAGTAATGAGGCTATTATTTTTTAGTAGAATTCAGACTCTTATATATTAAGTCTCAGAAATAAGGCCAAATATTTCCCTCTCTGTGGAGGCTTCCCTCAAACAGTGTGATTTGAACATTGTGCACCGTCCGCGCTGTAACAGCAGATGGCACCACATACTCTTTTCTAGTCTACAGTTATTTTATGTTATCCTTAACAAGATAGGGTCTGACCAGTACACACTGTTTTTCCACTAGACGCAACAAAATATTCACTTTAAAGTTCTAAAAGGTCAGCCATGTTGACCATTAAGAACCAGACCTCAGTCAGACTGTGCGATGGCTTTCTGTTACTGTATGACTTGAAACTTAAAATCAATTGTTTGGATAAACTGAAGTGAAGCTTTTCACGAATGTCCACGAATGTTTTCTGAGATTCCTGTTTCCTTTTCTCTCTTCCCGTTTTTACTGGTTAAACTATTAGAAAGAGGTGGTTATCCTGTGACTTCTGTCACTAAACACACACAGAACATAATGTACAGTAAGAGTATTATGTGGCTTTGCATGAATGTCAATGCTCATGCTCTGCCTAGCAAAACCAGACTAATTGTAATATAACCAGAAGTTAGGGTTTCAGTCATACATAATTCCATTCATGGCAATTTACTGAAACACCACCACCGTTGTACTTGTTGTGATATAGGAGATTAAAGTCACATCATTCATTTATTCATCTCAGTAAGTGACAAGAAACTCGCTGAATAGACGGTGAATTTCTCTTCCAATGTCTTGTCTCCACTGTTGTGTTTCAATGGCGGTCCTGTCTGCTTTGTGAGGAATGACTTTCTGTCTTTCTCTCTTCTTCCTTTTTTAGGACAGCAGCCACCCTGAGACGTTGATCAACCTCATAGTGCTGACTCAGCACCTGGGCAAAGCTCCCGAGGTGAGACTTTGAACCGAAAAGCTGTTAGCAATGGCAACGCTTTAACGGTCTTCAGTTTAGCATTTCACAAACTCGTCCTCAGTCAGAGAGGACTTGTGATATCTTTGTCCAATAGCGCTGCACTTAGAGAGCAAGATGCTCTTCTCAGCAATTTTGTGTGCGTTTGCTTTGATTGAAGCAGGTAAAAGCATTCAACCGAGCGGCTTCTTGATTTTATTTGTCCTCCATCGTGAAAAGTGTCATCTAAGCATTTCCACTGGTTTAGTGCTGTGTGAGTACTACACTTTGGAACTCAGAGTTCATAAGATAACTCGATTATCTTTCTTTGGTTTGATGAACTTGATAGTACAATAGAATGCTGATAATCGACAAAGCCTTCGCTAAAACTTTTTCCACTGTTATAACCACCGATTAGCACATCTCACTCAAGGTTAACTGGAGTTATGTGGAAAAGTTCTGATAGTAAGCCTCAAACCCACAACTGTCATAAGAGTTTGAGTGAAATATCACCTTTTTCCAACTGAGCCTCTTCCACTTCAAACTAGTGAGAAGATCACAGACAACAACCCTAAAAAACAGGACTCATAACTTTTACTTTGTTTCACAGTTTTAAAGTCCCTGAAAACGGGTCTTATAGTCTACTTTCTAACTTTTGCATCATCTGTTTTACGTTTGTCCTCAGGTAACCAATCGATACCTGTCTCAGCTGAAAGATGCACACAAAGCCCACCCATTCCTCAAAGACTACTTAGCCAAGGTAACTTGGTCTTTCTTCTTGGTCTCTTCAATGCCTTTCATTCTGAGGCAGGCTGCTGACCTGTGGCCGGGGCTATATGAGGTCACAAGATCCATCCTCAATTGTCGACAAGCTTTCCTAACCTTTACTCTGTTATAATTTAATTAACTGTCTTGTTTGTTTTCAATGTTGTGCAGCATGTGTCCTTGGAGCACCGTCAATGAGCGCATTAAACTCTGAACCTTTCGCCTTTTGTCACACGCACACACCGTGTTGTAATTACACAAGACTGCAGATGTACATAAACATGCTTAAACTGGGTTATACCATTGCCAAACAAACCATGTGAAGCACAGCTGGTCAGATGTTTTTTTTTTTTTAACTGTTTCCTGTGCTCTTGGCTTCCCTGCAGGAGAATGAGTTCGACCGACTAGTGCTGCAGTACGCTCCCATCGCTACGGCATAGGCCGGCAGCTTTCACTGACGCACCTCAACAACGGACTTCAGTACAACACCAGGAAGTTCTCTTTCTAAGTTGCATACCTACATTTGTTTTGATACTTGTCAGAAAAAAAAAAATGTCAAATTTAAACTTTGGCTGTATTATTTAAACCAGAGCAGAAGTCATCATTTCCCCTGTGTGTAGATGAAACATGTCCATCCTTTATTAAGTTGAATTTCTCTTATGGAAATCAGTTTTAATGTAAGCATTCCTCAGAAATGATAATAAATGTGTAATTCCTGTGAAGAGTTAAAGTGTGGTTTTGTTTTTGCATTCAGACACTAGTTATTTAAGCCAAATTTAAAAAAAAAAAAAAAAAAAAAAAAAAAAAACGTTCTTGGTGTTTTTTGTCACATTTTGAGTGATTTAAGTGTCTTGTGTGTAGTCATGTATAACGCATTCGTCAACACTGTCTCTTTAAGTCATCCTTTTTAATCTTCAAGCAGAGGGTTAAAACAGAAGATAGCCGGCCCTAATTACGTCACGCCCCCTCTCGGCTTTTTTTTCTTCTTCTTCTTCTCGCATAAACGGACGCTGTCCTCTTTTCAACGTCCCAGTTGATATCCATGTGAAAGCGAAGCGCGGTTTATCAGAGACGCAGATACGTTCACCAGACCAGAGCGGCAGCGGCGACAGCGGAGGAGGAGGAGAAGAGGAAGGAAGAGAAGAAGAAGAAGAAGCAGCGACGGCGGCCTCTTCACAAGACAATATTATTCCTACTTATCGTTATCTATTCGCTGGAATAACTCGGCTGCGTGTGCCGGTTTGTCAGGACTCTGCCTCTCTAACTCATGAAGCGGCACAGAGACGTTACATAAGGCGACTAACGGTCGGAGATGAGACGTTACGGCGGAGCGGCGCTGTAATCGCATGTGCTGGCTCTGGGCTTTGGCGCTGGAAAGGCGACACAAACGGATTGAATTCGTTCATGTGTTGCGAGCTTCCATCGCGTTTAAAGGGTAATTTATTCAAGTAGCTAGCTTTAGCTTTGGAAGCTGCATCCGATGCTGGTCATTTCACTATTGTGCGCGTTTAATTGAACTGAGCTTAGGCGGCTAACCAGGACGCGCTGCTGCCGCTGATGGATGATGAGCCCCGCGTGCGCATAGCGGAATAATGATCAGAAGAAACCACACGCGCGCTAATGGCTCGCAGTAATTGTCGAAACCATATTTGATAATTGGTGTGCGTGATTATAAAATACAGCTTCGTAGCCGGTCGGACCTTGGTGGGCCCTGCTATCAATCATAAAAACTGTCCTGGACGCGAAGAACGGGGCCCATGTCTTAATTTGGAAAACAAAGAATTAGGCTACTGAAGAGGGTAAGCTGGTTAGATAAGCTTGTTTTAGCATTTTTAGGTGAGCTAGCAAGCTGGTTCTCGGATTAGCCACACAGTCTGGACTGTACTGCTCCCTCTGACCATCAATTGGAGGATATATATATATAATTTTTGTTCGGGTTCCATGTTTGTGTTCTGCACCACCATGAGCAGTGAAAGCGGGGACGCCGGGCCGGTCGAAGTGGAGCCCATGCCGGGATACTTGGACCTCATTAGCAGAGCCTCCACCGTGATGCTGGGCGCATGGAGAGACTGTAGCTCTTGCGGTCTGGAGCTCTCCAAACGGACTCTCCTGGATAACGCATACATTACCTGGACCGAAATCGCCCTGTTCCTCTTTAGCGCCTTTTTGTGGACGCAGGTCAGGCGGGGACTGACAGCAAGTCTGTTTCAGGTGGGTGACACACAATCACAACACAATCCCAGCTCCCCAAAGGTTAATTTACTGACACCCTTAATGAATGGGTTTAGCAGCTCATTTCTCTAATTAGGGCCCCAGCACTGCAGAAGTGTGGCCCCTGTGCCTCCCCATCTCTCGGGAGTGACTGAGGGCTCCAGACTGAATGTGAGGCAGCAGGTGAGGGTGAGAACAACACATGTTAACAAATATTAGATCCAGTTGTAGGCTGAAGATAAAGGAGCATGGAGAATGTGAGCTTGTTGGACAGTAAACACTCTTATCTATACTTGTGTTGGGCAAACATTTGAGCTGAACAAGTGTAACAAATGTGTCAATCTTTTTGGTGAGCAGTTCTTGGTATGTTGGCAGTTGGCACATACAACCAAACTGCGAACTCAATTCCCACACACAGACAGGTGTTGGCATTTCATTGTGTTTTCATTCTAATAGTATGTGTTTTATAGTTAATATACTGTATGACCCTAGCCAATACAGTCCCAGTTACAGCCATGGAGCTGTATCCTGATTTTACATCTTATTCCTTCTGGTAATCTGGTCACAGATTGCAAATGTTCTGGTGAAAAAACCCATATATATAATATATGTTTTTACATATGAATAGTCTGAAACAATCGATACACAACAGCATCTATTTTCTGTGTGCTCGCTGAATACGATTCAAACATACTTTTACATTTTCTCCATTTGTAACAGTCGATATATTCCTGAAGCTTTTAGATTCCTATTAGTGCCTTTTAGGTACTTTTTGGAACATGGCAGCAAGGTCATTAACGGCAATTATGTCAAATTGCAACTGATGCAGACTTCCTAACATCTCATTTCCCTCCCCCCTTTGTCTCTTTCACTCACACGCACACATACACTATGCTAATAACATTTAGTATCTGTAATTTTATATTCAATACCAAAATATATAGCAAAATAATAGATTTTCTGGACAAATTGTATTTTCAGAATTGAGACCAATACACTGTAAAAACATCAGTAGAACATCTTGGTACTAGGCACCTGAGGATGTACACTTAAAGCAGCATCATCAACATTGTTTCTTCCCACATTATCTCAATCAGAAACTCAGTCTGTGCTCTGAACGACTGGCCCTATGCCTCATCTATTCCCTCCACCCATCCAAGTCCTGAGTGCCTCCACACTGTTGTTGCTGCCAAGCAGAGCCCTTCTCCACAGAAAGCTAGGATGTGGCTCATTACTCTGCCATGATTGTGGATGGGGGTGGAGAGTCCGCACGTGGTAGATGCTATGAAGACGATGAAGTATACTGGAGCTCAGGGCCCCATGTGTGAAGCCAGATGTGGCCTGAAAATGCAAAGAACGAGGCCTGTTTTCCACTTTACATTATGCGTGTGTGTGTGTGTGTGTGTGTGCGCCTGCGTGCGTGCGTGCGTGCGCGCTACTCACTGACCCCTATAGAACAATGTGGGATGCAGCCCATTTAAGGCCTGGATGCTGTAAGGGCTGTGAAGGATGAGGTGAGATTTTGAATTAAGAATCAGTCGGTGTTGCCCTCGGTTATTTGGTGCATGTGTAACACCACCTTTACAGTGTGTACATCAGGGATGAAGAGGACGGGTTCACTGTTAGGTCAGTCGTGCTGAGCTAATGCAATTTGAGTATTGCTGCAATACATCACAAAAACTGAGGCGGGTATATTTGACATCTTATTTGAGCATAGCTAATTGCACCGACTTGATTTACACAAGATGTTTTCTCACTTGTTAAGTTGGACATTAGGTAAACCCCAAAATGCATTGAACACAATACCTGTCAGTAATGATTGAATAGTGGTTTTCATAGTGTTGAAGTACACAATAGCTACGGGCTCTAAAAATGACAGCACAAACAATCCCGAGTACACACCCTGAATTATATTCAGAGAGTCAGAGCTAATGAAACCTTACAGACATCAGACGTGAGCTCGGACATCAGTGGACAAAGCACCGTGTAATCTCATGCTGTGTGTACTTATGTAGACTATGATGTGATGGATGAATATTGGCTCCTCCAATAACATGTCGAATATGGACCGTAAAGAAATTATTCTTCATGATTTTGTTAACAGGACCTATTTCTTGTAGCGCTACAATGATTAGGCAATTAATCGCTAAGTTGAAGGTCCAAAGACAACTAACCATTAATCGTTTCTCATGTCATTTCTCAAGCCATTAATCGAAAATATTACTAGCAGATTAATAATGAAGATAGTTGTTGTTGCAGCCCAAATTTCTTGGCTAAAATGAAGCTGTATTTTGCAGAAGTTGCTGTTGAATTTTACTTCACATCTGACACAAGATCTGATGGATGAAAATAGTTTCCTGTTTTGTTACCTACAGTACTCTGTCGTCTTTGAAGAATGCAGGTTGAGCCACTTTCTCTCTTTTGCATTTCCCACGGTACACTGAGGTTACAATTATGAGAGCAGCAGAGTGATGCTTGCTTAGCTTGGCTGTCAGTGGTACCATAATGACCACAGCCAAACCTTGTTATAATGTAAAAAAATACAATACAAGTGTGAGACTATAGTGCCTTCTGGTCAAACCCAGTCACTGTCAAGAGCTAAAGAAGAGATATGTAATCCTCAGTGTCCTCAAGCACACTGCTAGACATAAGACTGTGGACACGTGCTCCTATGGTGACTATGGTGGCTCTCCAGAAGCTAGGAAATAATGTCTCAAACCTTCAGGTTGGATGGATCAACTCCTGCCCTGAACTAGAGTCTTTTGTACGTGTCAACCTTTCTGCTTTTACGTCAGCCAACCGAGGGAAGCCAGGTTCCACGTGGCGCCTTGATCACTTCACGTCAGTGAGCACGCTGTTGGGTGTATAAATGGCCCCCGTGCACAGTGCTGTGTGGTGGAGTGAGTGGTTTTCATTATGTTTCACTTTTGGTTTGACGCTCGAGTGTACAAGCCAGAGCAGCTCGTATTCAGGTTTAATTAAACACAACTTGTTGATCAGCCACTTGAGCTCCACTGTTCTATAAAAACACTGTGGGTCCGTCATACTCTCCTGACTCACCCGTTGGCACTTCTGACACTGGCATTTTATTATGTGTCCTTTAAGTTAAGTGTTGAAAAGCTTGGCATTCATCTCAGGGAAACACGTGGTGAAATCCTTCAATCTGCTCTTACTGAAGAGGTCAATGTACCCAGTAATATTCTAAATGTCATGTGACAGTGTGACAGTTGCTGTACTCATTCCTCATTGTCTTTTTAAGCTTCACCCCGCACACACACGCACATGTTTGTCACAGCGCATGCCGGTTTGTCTCTTTGCTTGCATTGCAGTTATATGCACGCTTCTGTTCACGAGTGTAGTGAGATTTCAGATGCATATGGTTGTTTTTTTTGTCATGCAAGCGTGCATGTGCAACTTCCTGCTATATCATTGCAACGCCTCAAAGACGGGGAATGGAGAAGGTGGGAAGAGAACAGAGACAGAATGATGACACCACTCGGTAGAGGTGATCAGAGGGGAGGAATTACCAGAAAAGGAGTAGACAGCTAGAAGAAGGAAGGAAGGAATGGAGAGAAGTGGCTTGCGAGGTTGTTGTGTAGCTGAGGACAAGCTCGCTGACTCAGCATGCAGCAACCAATCATTGACAGAATTTGACTCACACCCGCACACGTGTTGGTAAAAAAAAAAAAAAGGGTACATATGCCGTCTCGCACACGCACATGCAACTTCTTCCCACTACCTAGCTTTTATATCCAGCAACACACTAGCTGCTCAGTGTGGACAAATAGGCAGGCAGTGGTCTAACCCTAGCTGCAGCAGTTAATAACCACTTTCATAAATGCCCCCCCCCCCCCCCCCCCCACACACACACACACACACACACATACACACGCTGAAGCGGTCACTCAAAGAGTAGAGCAACAGTGTGTTTGCCAGCTCCAGCCTTGTTGCAGAGCCTATTTCCCCTGCATTGAGCAAACTAGCACCTCGTCCCCTGCTGCTGTTCTACATGTGAGAGCAGCGTTATGCTCGACAAGGTCCCCCAAACCACAGATCCCAGATCACTTTCCACAAAGCCCCTGCCCATTGTTGTGCATTAGCGATGCGTAGAGAAACCTGATACTGGATTTGTGGTGAAGGGGAAGTGCTATCCATTCAGCCAAAAGTGCCCACTCAGGTAAAACTTGCTTGTAGTTTTGACACTGATTGCAAGCAGTTGTTCGGAAGTTTGGTTATTAGGCCTATTTTTTACATCCTCCTCTCCTCTCCTCTCCTCTCGTGACTCAGCCATCTAATTTATCATCATCTAGCGTTTACACGAGCAGCACTTTCTCCGTCACCTGACTTGTGATCTAGTGCTCTGTGTGCTTCAGTGTGTCATAAATACAGAGCACTTATGTGTTCACAAAACTGTCAGCCCCACTGTTTGTGCTTCAATTAATCAATATGTGTCACTGTGATAGATGCGCTTCTATACGTCTAATTATATCGTATTTTTTGATTATAGCATAATTTCCGTGCCACAATATGTTCCTACCTTTGTGTGTGTGTGTGTGTGTGTGTGTGTGTGTGTGTTGGCTGCCTTGAGGATTGTTCCAACCTGTCATGCACACAGCATCGAGCTGTTCAGTTCAAATTTCTTACTGACGTATTGGGTGGCTAGCTTGTCAAGTTTAGCAGCGGGTTTCCATATCACTGCCTTTTTTTAAGCATTAGGATCCTTCATGCAAACTATTTTTCCAGCCATTTGCCGTATCCTCAAAGATTATTATTTGTTAAGATAGATGCAAATTTGAATTATGTATCGACAATTTTTAAGTTTGGCAAATTACAGAACACTCTTGACAGCGTGACCACACGCGTCTCATCCGTCAGTGCGCTGCTAGTTAACACTCCAGACACACGTAGGATCAGATGTGGAGCTCACGGAAATGTGGCAATTTATTGATTAGTTGCTGACTTTGTGCTTTTTCTCAGATTTACATAATTGTAAATTAATT